GCCTGCCAGAGCTGCAGGCAGCCTGTGACTTCCTCTCCAAATTATAAGCTAAGCTAAAGCTGGCTAGCTTATCTTTAGGTTTACTCCTAACCCAATTGGAAAAACGCAGTTCCTGAGAGAAATGTAACACATATAACATACCTCCAATCCTTGTGTGAATAGACACTGGAAAGGAGGAAAGGGTGAAGAATCTACCCCCATAAGCCACTGAGGCAGAAGGCCAAAAGCACTTAGTTAAGAGGCCACTTTGGGTGTTAAAGCTCCAGACTAACTGGGAAAAGCCTGGATCCTGCTACAAAACCATTGATTGACACACTGAGGGTGGGAATTACATTGGAGCAATCAGAACCTGAGGATGAAGATGAGATGGAGGTGGGGCTCTTTTGTAAGCCACCCCCGGTCCCGCAAAGTGCTGGATGATGAACCCCAACTTGGTCTATGCCAGAACAGTTAGTTCTCTATCAGTGAGGGACACGCCCAGTCACCCGACAAAAGGCGTTGAAGGGGACCGGTAATTCAGGCGTTTGGAACAGCTGCTGTGGCTGAGATGGGATTAGAAGACACACAGATTAATTTAAGATGGAATGCTACCCTGGCACACGTTGCAGCCTGGAGGCCAAGGCAGGAGGTTCACCCTCAAGTTGAAGGTCAGCTTGGGTTACATAGTGAAATCCTGGTCAGTATGGGTTCAAATTGAGTTAAAAAAAAAAAAAAAGACTCACCAAAACTGTTGTTCTTAGTAAGGAGGGTGGTTTAGCAAATGAATCTTCCCCAGTAATTAAAAACACACTAGGAAGGCAAGCCTCCAGGGTGAAGAAAGCTGTGGCCTGGAATGCAGAGATGGACCCACAGATAAGGGCGCTGGAGCTTGGTCAGTTCCCGGCATCCACCTGGCTGCTTACAAATGCTCTGTAACTCCAATTCCAGAAGCTCTGAAACCCTCCTCAGACCCCAGACACACACTTAAAACACCCAGACACATAAAAATGAAAACTTGTAAAAAAAAAAAAAAGATTTTACAAAGA